TCCAGTCGTAAGAAACATGATGCTGAAAGGCCATGAAATATGAGAATGGTGTTAAAGGAAACAAAGCTGTGTGACTAGAGAGTAAGTGTATAGAATAGGGAAGAAGTGGTAAGGGGGCTGCCTTGCTAGAGAGCAGGTGGGGTCACATGAGCCATGAACCACGGAAGGGTTTTTTATCCAGAGGAGTTACAGGGTCAGAAAGAGGGAGCTGTGATTCACTGTGAAAGAAGGAAGAAGGCCTCTCTCTGAGCACCTGGTCCTCTGATGTGTCAGAAGGAGGCTCAAGTGTTGGAGATCAGGTGCCAGTGGGACTGCCACATGCCTTTGGAAAGAATGGAGGGCTCGCTCTTGCAAAGAGAATCTGAGACTCCTCGCGGTATTCTCCTGGGCTAGTTCTGGGAGGGATGGAGATAAATACGATGATATGTGACATAGTAGATTTCCAAATGTTAGTTTTAAAACTAAACAAAGTAGTAGGAAATTGGGTTAAATATATATATTTTTTTATTGTAAGTGTTGTAGGAATTCAGATTTAGAAGATAACCATTGAAAGCTAGAGTGGTCAGTGATGGGAAGTAAGACTTGAGCTATCCTTGAACATTGAAGACAAGATAGATGGGCAGATAGGAACAGGCGTCCCTCCAAGCAAGGGAAGCAAGCTGGAAAAAGATGTGGAAGCAGTGGGCAGGGTCTGGGTTGGAGGGGAGGAGAGAGGCAGTGAAGCTGAGTACAGGGCCTGGGCAAAAGAGTAGAAGTCCTTTTATTAAATTTATTTTTTTAAGAGTTGGGGTCTTGTTATATTGCCCAGGCTGATCTCGAACTCCTGGCCTCAAGTGATCCTCTCACCTCAGCCTCCCAAAGTCCTCGGATTACAGGCATGAGCCACTGCACCCAGCCACGATGTAGAAGTCCTTGAAGGACAGATGCTTACCTCTGAGACATTAGGAAAAGCTACTGATAGGATGAAAGTGGCTTAGCAAGATCAGGTGATTTTGAAAGACACAATGCATTATTATCTATTGTAGTCACCATCCTGTACAATAGATCGCTGACGCTTATTCTTCCTGTCTAACTGGAATTTTGTACCCCTTGATAAAAATCTCTCCTTTCCCCATTCATCCCCTTTCTAGCCTCTGATAACCACCATTCTACTCTCTAATTCTGTGAGTTTGACTTTTTTAGATTTTACATGTGCGAGCATACCTTGAAGATACTGCAGGTTCAGGTCTAGACCACTGTAGTAAAGCAAATATTGTAATAAAATGAATCCCACATTTCTTTTTTTGTTTCCCAGTGCATATAAAAGTTATGTTTACACTATTCTGTAGCCTATTAATTATGCAATAGCATGTCTAAAAATGTACATACCTTAATTTAAAAATGCTTTATTGATAAAAAGTGCTAGTGATCACCTGAGCTTTTGGTGAGTCATGATCTTTTTTCCAGTGGAGGGTCTTGCTTTGATGTTGATGGCTGCTGACTGATCAGGGTAGTGATTACTAAACGTTGGCGTGGCTGTGGCAGTTTTTAAAAATAAACAGTGATTTTATTTTATAAAATTATTTTATAAAAATTTTACTTTATAAAGTTTTTAAAATAAAATACAATAAAAATTTTGTTTTATAAAAATAAATTAAAAAAAAAAAACAGTGAAGTTTGCCACATTGATAGACTCTTCCTGTCATGAAAGATTTCTCTGTAGCTTATGATGCAGTTTCATAGCACTTTACCCATAGTAGAACATCTTTTGAAATTGGAGTCAATCTTCTTAAACTTTGCCACTATTTTATCAATTAAGTTTATGTAATAAATCCATTGTAATTTCAGCAGTGTTCACAGCATCTTCACCAGGATAGATTCCCTCTCAAGAAACCACTTCTTTGAAGTAAATTCTCATGCATTCATGTTTTATCATGAAATTGCAGCAATTCAGTCAAAACTTAAGGTTCCACATCTAATTCTAGTTCTCTTGCTATTTCCATCACATTTGCAGTTATTCTTCCACTGAAGTCTTGAATCCTTCAAAGTCATCCATGAGAGTTGGAATCAAATCTTCCAAATTTTTCTTAATGTTGCTAATTTGACCTCCTCCTCATAAATGTTCTTAATGGCATCTAGAATGGTGAATTCTTTCCATAAGGTTTTCAATTTACTTTGCCCTGATTCATCAGAGGAATCACGATCTAGGCAATAATAGCCTTATAAAATGTATTTCTTAAATAATAAAAACTTGAATGTCAAAATTACCCCTTGGGCCATGGGCTGCAGAATGGACATTGTGTTAGCAGCATGAAAACAACATTAATCTTGTACATCTCCACTGAGCCCTTGGGTGACTAGGTGCATTGTCAATGAGCAGTAATATTTTGGAATCAATTTTTTTTTGAGCAGTAGGTCTCAACAGTGGGCTTAAAATATTCAGTAAACCATGCTGTAAATAGATGTGCTGCCATTTATAGAGCACAGTCAGGGTACATTTAGCATAATTCTTAAAGGCTGTAGGATTTGCAGAATAGTAAATGAGCCTTGGCTTCAACTTAAAAGAAACCAACTGCATTAATCCCTAATGAGAGTCAGCCTATCCTTTGAAGCTTTGAAGACAGGCATTGACTTTTCCTTTCTAGCTGTGAAAGTCCTAGCTGGGATATTCTTTGGATATAGGCTGTTTCTTCTGCATTGAGTATCTCCATGTTATCAATAAGGTGGTTTTCCTTTCTTATTGTTGGCGTGTTCACCAGTGTAGTTCTTTTAATTTCCTTGAATAACTTTTTCTTTACATTCATAACTTGGCTATTGTTTGGTGGAAGTGGCATAGGTTTTGGCTTATCTTAGCTTTCTACATGCCTTCTTCACTGAGCTTAATCATTTCCAGCTTTTGATTTAAAGTGAGAAACTTGCAACTCTTCCTTTCACTCGAACACTTAGAGGCCATTGTAGGGTTATTAACTGGCGTAATTTTAATATCGTTGTGTCTTAGGAAATAAGGAGGCCCAAGGAGAGGGAGAGAGATGGGGGAAAGCCATTCAGCAGAGCAGTCAGAAAATATACGACATTTATTGATTAAGTTTGCCGTCTTATATGGATGTGGTTTGCAGCACTCTAAAACAATTAAAATAGTAACATCACAAGAGTTCTGGATCAGCCTGGGCAACACAGCAAAACATGTCTCTACAAAAAAACACAAAAATCAGCTGGGCGTGTTGGTGTGTGCCCGTACTCAGCACTACTCGGGAGGCTGAGGTGGGAGGATGAGTCGAGATCATGCCATGGTACTCCAGCTTGGGCGACAGAGCCAGATCGCGTCTCAAAAAGAAAAAAAAAAATCACAAATCATAGATCACCTTGACAGATTTAATAATGGAAAAGTTTGAAATTTGATGAGAATTACCAAATTTTAACAAACGTGAATGAGCACATGCTGTTGGGAGAATGGCACTGGTAAACTTGCTCAGTGCAGTTACTATAAACCTTCAATTTGTAAAAAACACAATATCTATAAAGAGCAATAAAATAATGTGTGCCTATGTTACTAAAAGGTTGACTTTACATATTTTCACTGCATAAAAATGAAAGCATGGGCCGGGCGCAGTGGCTCAAGCCTGTAATCCCAGCACTTTGGGAGGCTGAGGCGGGTGGATCACAAGGTCAAGAGATTGAGACCATCCTGGCCAACAACGTAAAAACCGGTCTCTACTAAAAATACAACAAAAATCAGCTGGGCGTGGTGGTGTGTGCCTGTAGTCCCAGCTACACGGGAGGCTGAGGCAGGAGAATTGCTTGAACTGGGGAGGAGGAGGTTGCAGTGAGCCGAGGTTGTGCCACTGCACTCCAGCCTGGCGACAAAGCGAGACTGTCTCAAAAAAAAAAAAAAAAAAAAAAGAAAGTATGCGAGCTGATGGATTTTGTTTATATTAATCATATATCAAATGTAAAAAATATCAAAACATCACCTTGTACTCTATAAATATATAAAATATACAATTATTTGTCAATTAAAAATAAAATATTTAAATGTAATAGAAAAGAAATAAATTTTTCCAAAAATATTAATTAGGTGGCTATGGATGGATGGATTGTGCAGGTACAAGGGAACAGTCTGTCAGGCTTTTGCCTGCAGTAATAAGGTTTATGTTCTACAATAAGATCATGGAAGGACCATTGGGAGGGACTTTTCTTCTAGCCAGTGATCAATAGGGCTTGGTGTGGGGATGGTGGAGTCACAGGGAGCCAAAGGTTTAAGGGTTGGGGCCTAGGAGAACCGTGGTAACATTGAGAGACATAGTAGATTGGGAAGAGAAGCTGGTCTATAGGATTGGAAGAGAAGACTTTTTAAAATTGAAATCATCACATCTGACGCCATGAGTGTCAGAGCTTTATGGACAGTTGGAGCTGTGAGACCTGTGGCCACTAGTGACGTTTTGAAATCATTACAGCACAGTTAGGGCAGGAGCCAGACTGCAAAGAATAATGGAAGATGATGAAAAAGCCACATCTTCTTAGATGGTAGCTTTTTTCATGAATTGCATGAAGGAGGAGAAATCCATAGTAGTTACAAGGGACATTAAGTAGAATCCTTAAGCTGGGATAGGGCATAGAAACCTCCAGATTAATTCCTTATAAATTCTTACGCACGTATGATCACCGACATCATATTTCTTTCATCCATCTCTTCATTCACCACGTGTCTGCATGCTAGGCGTTCTGGCTACTTCTCCCCTTTACTTCCGTGTGGGCTAAGTGCCGGAGCAGCCCCTTAGCAGTCATTACCAGTGTAGCAGTAACAGGACTTGGGCTAAGGACACCTGGAATAATAAGTCACCGTCTTTTCTTCCCTTAATTTTAGCTAATGTTTCTTTCCCTCCTTCCCATGGGGAGGTTGCAGGCCTAGTTGTCAGTGATTCCAGCCATGTGTTCTGAGTGCTGCTAGATGTTAATGCTGTGAATTTCAAGAACCGTTTTTAAACAATATGTTTGTTGTTGTTTTTTTGTGGTTATAACAGGTAGAGTGGAACCCCCAGCTATTAGAGGTCCCACCCCAAACCCAGTTTGATTACACAGTCACCAGTCTAATTGGCGGTCCGAAACCACCTTCTCCTTACGACTCTCAATACCATGAGACCATCCTGAAGGTGAGCAATGCTTCCTTGCTCTGGGGAGCCCCACTGCAAAGCTTGGGTGGTTTTCTCTGGGCTGAGTTCAGCAGGCTGTCGGGTGTTTTCATTCTTCCTTCTCTTTCTTCCCTACTTCAGGGGGGCATGTTTGCGGGGCAGCTGACCAAGGTGGGCATGCAGCAGATGTTTACCTTGGGAGAGAGACTGAGGAAGAACTATGTAGAAGACATCCCCTTTCTTTCACCGACCTTCAACCCACAGGAGGTCTTGTGAGTCACTTGAAAAGGGATGGACGTTGCACTTGATTTAAGGTCTTGAGCATGAGGATACCTGTCCTGACAGCCCAAGATGGTTCCCACTCTCACCCAAGGTAGTCCGGAGGACAACTTGTCATGATGCAGTTACCCTTATGCCACAGGATCCTGTGAATGGGTGGTTCCTGGAGGTCACATTCATTGGTCTTTGAGTCTCTTAGGGACAGACATCCCACCGAAAAGTAAAGCATTCTTCCTAGCCCCGTAGCTCTCCTATGTACTCTTGAAAGACCCCTGGAGCCTCTGTGGACTAAAGTGTATATATTTAAATATTCCTTTTATGAGTGTCACTATCTTTTAATTTTTTTCAGTATTCGTTCCACTAACATATTCCGGAATCTGGAGTCCACCCGTTGTTTGCTAGCTGGGCTTTTCCAATGTCAGAAAGAAGGTTCGTATCTGAGGTCCCAAACTCAATCTCTGTCTTGAGGGGCTCTTGCTTCTCACTTCCAAAGCCCCTGTCTCTTTCTTGGTGACTGTTCCATTGATTTTATTTTTCTCCTGCGTATGTGACTTCCAGTGTGTGCCCAGTCCAGTGGGTCCTTCCCTGTCGGGCCTTATGCTCCCCCTGCTAGCCTGCCCTCAACAGCAGCAGCAGTGTACCAGCTGCTCTGATCTGCCTCTGGCTCCTCGCGTCTCCCATCAAGCTTCTACACAAGCTGCACAAGGCAGTCCTAACCATGTTTTATGAACAATCGAGGGGGCTTTTTGTTTAGGTGAGACTGCTGAAAAGGAAGGACACTTAGCTGGGACCCAATACTGCTACTACTGCCCTAATCTTGGTGATCATCCATAGCATAAACAGCGTTCTGTCTAGCCTTTCCTAGTTGAGAAAGTCCATCGAGTTTGGGTTTTGGCAATTCAGCCCCTGAATGGTTGCAATCAGTGGTTCCCAACCTTTTCATCCCGAAGGACTGCGTTAATTATTTCCCCTTGTGGATCTCCTGTGTTGAGAGCCTTTGGTCATCACATGAACCTGCATTTTGTCATTTGTAATTGGTTCAAATTTACATTTAATCACTGGTCTGAATTTCGGATCATCATGACCTCGCTAAAAAGGTGCCATAAAGCAAAGGTTCTTGTTACTTTGTTTAGCTTTTTGGCAGTGTCTCAAATAGAAACAAAATTTCCATCACACTTTTTAAGAAATATGTAGAATAATAGAAGCTTCAGGAAAGAGGAGTCTGATTTCGCCCCAGCTGGGTTGGATGCTGCTGCTCATTCTGGCTGTAGTTGGCTGCTGCACACAAACAGTATGTGTCTAGGTAACATAAAGCAGGATGGGTTCCCCCTTACTTCTTGGGAGGCCTTGAATGATCCACAGCACCCGATCTTCTGAAAGCTATCAATTGCTCAGCTTCTAAAAGACAAGATCTTTCAGACACATCAGAAGTGCTACTGAGAAGGAAAGATATTTCTTGGTGGCAACATTCTGTTTAGCAGGTCCCAGACTGAGAATGCCCCAGGTTTCTAGCAGGGAAGGAAATCTCTAACATCAGGCGTGTCTGTCTGGGTCGCAGCTCCCTGCACTGGACACACAGGTGTTGAGACTCCAGTTTGGCTTCATTCCTAGCTACTTCCATGCCTTTCCTATGGGAAGGAACTTGACTAAAGAATCCCAGAAGGTACCGCTGTGAATGGAAGTGGTGCAACTTTGGGATATTGCTTTAGGGGTAAAATCCTAGAAAAATCCCAGAAGTTACATGTGAGCTACAGCGAATCAGGCTGTGGGAAAGCTGGAGATTGTTGGTCTGCCCACTCGGCCAGTCATTTGCTCTGTGTACATTTGTCTACTCAAGTGTGCCGTATTTATCATAAGCTGTGGGTCCAAAATCCAGACACCAATATCAGACTCCAGATATTAGAGGTTTATAATATTATTAGTGTTATATTACAGGTTTAAGTCATAGTTATTCTATCACATAAAGGACTTAGTACAGTCATTCCACAGTATCCAAAAGGGATTGGTTCCAGGAGAACCCTCACCTCTGGCAGATACCAAAATCTACGGATGCTCAAGTCCCTTATGTAGAATGGCATAGCTTTGCATATAACCTATGTCCTTCCTCCCATGTACTTCAGATCACCTCTAGATTACATATAATACCCACTACAATATAAATGCTGTATATTATCCTGTACTGTTTTCTAATTTATGTTATTTCTATTGTGTTATTTTGTATTGTTCTTTTTTCTCAAATACTGTTAATCCATGGTTTCTTGAATCCATGGATGTGGAACCCAAGGACATGGAGGACCAATGTATGCAGCAAGCTCTGTTCTAAGAACTTCACATATATTAACTTGTTTAATTCTTGTAATAACTCTGTGAGTTAGGTATCGTTATCCCCTTTAACAGATAAGAGAACCAGGACACAGAGAGGCTAAATGACTTGCCCAGGTACACAAAACTGGTCAATAGTGGAATTAGGATTCAAACTCCGGCAGTTTTGGTTCCCAATCCTACTTTTTCCTTTTATGCTCAGCTGTTTCTTTGAGGACGTGTATATCTGGAGGCAGCATTTGGTTTGTCCTTTCCACAACACATGCTGCAGAACCTCCAGGATTCTTCAGAGGGGTCTCAGGAAGTATAGAAAAGGAGGGATGGGACACGTGAGGGACTGTGCCTAGGATCTCCACCTTGCAGCCGTCAGCACCTCTCCCTTTATTACCATACTTTATAGTTGCAGGGTGGGGAGGTTCTGTTGCTTATATAGTTCCACCCCTTCCATTTACAGATGAACCCCAGAGAATGGTAGTGACTTCCCAAGAAAACTCGGCTGGTTCGTTGTAAACTGAAGACTGAACTCATGACTTTCAGTCTGGTTTCTTCTTCTGTCCAGACCAATGATGTGTGTGTGAATTCTGATATTCTAATAAAGTTATAGGCTATTTTTAAAGCCCTTGGTTCTGACGATCAGTAATTTGGGAATAAATATCTCTTTGATCGATTCAGCTGATCACACTCGTAGAGTGACCTCAGTGAATCCCAGATTGCTGCTGGGAATCTATTTCTTCTGCCATCAGGCTTGAGAGGTGTGGAAAAAGAACCTACCACAGGCACTTGCCATCTCTGGCACAGAGCAAAGCATGGGAAGGTGTTAGAACACCTTCTTTTGGCATTGATGGGAGGAGACGAGGGTCCCGAGGAGCTCTCAGCAGCAGTGAGCTGCCATGAAGTACAGAAGAAGCATTGTTTGAAGCTCATTTGGTTAGATCTTTGGTTAGACCAGCAATTCATCTAGAAGCCCGGCGTTTTATTTTGGGCAAGGCTGTGGGGTCTGGGAGGATCTGTGGTCTCGTGTCCACTTGTCTCAGTTTGTTGTGTGATAAATTACCATAGTGGCCTCTAAGATCAGGCTTCAGGAACAAGAAAGTATTTTAGTTCTGATAACGTTGTTCTTTATTAAAATGACCAAGTGCTGGCAGTGCTTTACAGCAGGGATTGTTTGGAAGGGGTCAGGGAGTTGCCAGTCTGATTCAGGTCTATTACCTGCTCCGGTCTATTTGTGGCCCAATAGGAGGGCTTGTGCTAGTCAGAACAAGGCTGCTGCGACTTACTTTTTCCATTGCTCAGATTATAGGAGACCCCCTATCGCACGGCCAGGCCATGTTGAAGGCATTCACTGTCCTTAAGGAGTAACCTTGATGATCTGCCTCTCGGAGCAGATCTCTGCTCCATCTCTGTAGACAAAGTGAGAGAAGAAGGGGGTGGAGATGCTGGGAAGAACATGCTGAAGCCTCTGCCTGCCTGTGCTCCCTGCATTTCTTCTAGGACCCATCATCATCCACACTGATGAAGCACACTCGGAAGTCTTGTATCCCAACTACCAAAACTGCTGGAGTCTGAGGCAGAGAGCCAGGTAACTGCCTCTGGGTTCTTGCTTACCAGTGGGGGACAGCCTTTTACCACCTTTGCTGGCAGAACTCTGTACTGAGGGCCTGCCCAGGCTAACCCTACTGGTGGATAATGGATGGGAAGGTTTAAATTACACTTAGGTGTGACATCGGCTGTCTTGGAACTGAGGAAGTCTTGTTCACAGTGACAGACTCATGGTGAAGGTCAGAAATTCTGGGAAGAGCTGCACGCTGGGCTAGAGAGATGATATATCAGCCACGAGTGGGGCTTTGCCATTTACAAAGTATGATCCTCCTGACAACCGCACGCTCTCAGGTGGGGCAGATGAGGAAACCAGCAGGTTAAATGAAAGATGACTGAGACTGTCTTTGACCTGCAAACCCAGGTGCACAAGTCCAGGAAGTCACAGACATGTTTCTGCGCAGCATAGATCAGTTTGGGCGGATGACATTCTCAGTTATCAGGTATCTCTAGGCTACACTAAGACTATGGCATTTAATACTATATGGTATTTATTCCATAAAGAAAAGAGAGTGCTGTTTTCAGACAGACTTGGGCCTTGCCTGCATCCTTTTTGATATAATGCAAATGCTAGAGTGAGATCTGGAAAATTCATCCTTTGATCCTAACCATGGTCATTGCTAACTTATGTTTACAAGTCATTTGACCTTATAGAGCCTTAGTTTATTCATCCATAACACTGGGATAATACTGGCTAACCCCAGTGGGTGGTTATAGGGATTAAATGATATCCTAAGTGCGAAGCACACTTTGTAAACTGTTCATCGCTATAGAATATAAGGCATTACTTTTTATTTTTTGTCAGAGGCCGGAGGCAGGCTGCCTCTTTACAGCCAGGAATCTCAGAGGATTTGAAAAAGGTGAAGGAAGGGATGGGCGTTGACAGTAGTGATGAAGTAGACTTCCTCATCCTCTTGGACAATGTGGCTGCTGAACAGGTGAGACCTGGGGTTGGGGATCCTGCGATCATATGTCCCTTGGTGGGCTGACTCCTGAGTTAGAACTGGGTGGAGAGAAGTGGGCAGAGGCCTGGTTTGGAGGCAACTGTAATAGGACCTGTAGAGAGAATGGATGTGGGGACCGAGGGATAGGGAGCAGTGGAGGAAGGCTCCCCACCCAGTTGGGAACACAGACGCTGAACTCTCTCAAGCAGAACTTCTTGAGGCGTGTTCCCCAGAACGCCGGATATGCAGGAGTGTGTTTGGGTAGGCGGGGTAATGGGTGGGGGGATGGATAGGGTCTAGGAATTTTGGAATCCCTATTTATTGTATCACTTCTTGAGAGTCCTGTATGTACATCAGCATATTTAAAAAATCTGAGATGCCCTTAATAAAGAAAACTGGTTGATCTTCAAGTCTGTTTTCCTCAAGCTTACTTAGCCGTGTAATCTTTTTCTGTAATAAATACATAAAGAAGACTAACAATGGGAAATGTTTCTCTAGATACAAAAGTTGGACACCCAAAGATGTATAGGCTCTTTCCTCTTTCTCTTGTGAAAATAAAATGACAGTGTACCCTGAAGGCAGAAATGCACCTTGCTCTTATGTGTAAAACAGGTTTAAGGCTAGAAGGCAAGAGTTTGTATCATATATTTGTATGGCATATTTTTTAGGAGTCATTTTGGGGAAAATGAAGGTCAAGTAGGAATTTATGAATTTCTTGCTTTGTATTTTATTCGTCTTTTTTTTAAGTTAAAGAATACAGCCCAGGTGCAGTGGCTCATGCCTGTAATCTCAGCACTTTGGGAGACTGAGGCAGGCAGAGCACGCTTGTCAGGAGTTCAAGACCAGCCTTGCCAATATGGTGAAACCCATCTCTACTAAAAACACAAAAATTAGCCGGGTGTGGTGGCGCGCACCTGTAGTCCCAGCTACTTGGGAGACTGAGGCAGAAGAATCACTTGAACCTGGGAGGTGGAGGTTATAGTGAGTCATGATCGCACCACTGCATTCTAGCCTGGGCAACAGAGTGAGACTCTGTCTCAAAAAAAAAAAAAAAATTATAAATGCTTTTCATTTTGGAGTGGATGGGGAGCCATCAGAAAGGGAAGACACCCCCTTTTTTTCCCTAGCCATCAGATATCTAGTAATAGCTTTGGAAGAGCTTTAGAGACAGCTTCTTGAGCTAGGAGAAGACGGGCTCCTGCAGGTTCCATGGAAGTTGATCAGCGGCTACAATCAGTAGCTGAGAAGCATTTTTTTTCTGAAACTACCTGTGGCCCTTTCAGGCACACAGCCTCCCAAGCTGCCCTATGCTGAAGACATTTGCACGGATAATTGAACAGAGAGCTGTGGACACATCCTTGTACGTACTGCAGACGGAAGACAGGTGAGGGGCCCCTCATGGCTGGCGTGAAGTCAGGCTTGGTCAGATACCCAAGTGTATGGGGCAGAGGAGTTCATCAGGCCCACTCCCACCTGGCAGCTGATGTCTCTGTGTGTAAGGAGGCTGAACCTCACTCTCTCCGCCTGCCAGTAGGCCCCAGGTCCTCGCCCTTCTGCAGCTGGGACTGGTGACCTAGTGCATCTGTTTCCTGTTATGCAGAACCAGGAGCCACCCACCTCCTGACTTTATCACTTGCCTTTTCCTTTTGCTTTAAGGTTTAAAGGATTTGTGTGGGGGGAGCCGAGGAAAGAATATTTATTTCTCTCTTTATTCATCATGTTACAATTTACAAATGATTTTCACATTCTCACTGTGAGAATGAGATACTTTTCCCCCTGGCTTTGTAGATAAAGAAACTGAGGCTGGGAGATACTGCCTACCCAGCTAGCGAGTGGCAGAGCCAGAGCTTGAACCCAGATCCACTGACTGCCTGTTCTGTGTTTTTGCTATATTATTAGCACTTAGTAGGGTTCTTTTTCTAGAAGGTCTGTTTCCTGACTACCAGAATGGAAAGTTTTTCTCTTATCAAATTTCGGAAGACACCTTTTTTTTCTGATCGATTGAATGCATTCAGCTTGCACTAAAAATACGTGACTTGATAGAGGAGGGGGAGGTAGGATGTCGTCCTGGGAAAGATGAGTGGGGGGAAGGCATCTAACAGTTCAAGAATCTGCATGGCTGGTTGCCTAAGGATAAGAGCCCCTGACTGCATTCCTTCTACTCAGAGTCAGTGTGTCCACTTGCGTGCAAGCCTGGGGCATCCAGAAGGTTCCTGCCAAGCTACGTAGCTTCCTGCCACTCCCTGGGACTTGCCAGCTCCCTTTTCTGTTTGCAAAGGGGCTCCACCATACCTAAATTATTACTTGCTGCTCTCTCCTTTATCAACAACACACACACACACACACACTCTCTCTCTCTCTCTCTCTCTCAGTAAATATTTTAAGCTGTGTAGATCATCCACTTTCTGTTACAACGACTCATCTCTGCCCTTATGACATGAAGCAACCAGAGACAGTGTGCAAACAAATAGACACAGCTGTGTGCCAATAAAATTTATTTACCAAAATTGGTCAGAGTTGGCCCGTGGTGTAGTTTGCTTTATTCTGTTGTAAATCATTTTAAACAGGACCTTGTCTATTGTCTTTTTCATTCCAATTAGCCCTGGTTTTGTAAAACTAACATATCTTCAGGGACAAATGGCTACAACCTCACAATGCCATCCAGCTTTTTGCCTGTGCATGTTCTTCTGAAAAGTGTATGTTGCATAGTGTCGGTCGCCTGCTCTTCATTTGTTGCTGCAACATACCTTGACTTATGAAGACGGCCGTTTACCCAATCACCACCAATAAGGATTTGTCTAAGCCAATCATGGCAACCTTGTTTTCATTGGTCAGTGACTGGCTTCTGGGAATTCTGGGAGGGGTCTTTTTTTTTCTTTGATAAAAAAGTAAGAAGCACAAAAACAAAGAGAAGACAGGCCCCTGAAGGCTCAGTGGAAGCTGATCAGCTGTTCTGATGAGTAGATAGATGAGAAACATTTCTTTCTTCTATAGTAAGTAGGCTTTGTTCACTCCTGTGAGTGAATGTGCTTTAACCTGCGGTAGTCACCTGTGGCCGTGATGTGACAGGCCTGAGAATGAAAGTGGTGGAACCACACAGCCAAGCCGGGGAGCACAGCCGCTGAGCGTCTTCTGTTAAATAAATCAGATGTAAATAAGAAATGTCCTTATGGTCTAAACTCCAAAAGAAGGAAGGCTGGCACAGAGGAAACAACATTTAGAATGTTCTTGTTCCTTCTGATTATTTTTCTAAGGGCCTTCTGGAATTCCTGGAAATTATTATCCCCTCTCCTTCCCAGCGTGTCGGCTTTCTTTCATTCCTCAAGGCCTAGTTGGTTTATCCGGGTCACCCCTCCCCGGCTCCACAGCCCCTCCCATCTCAGTTGTTCACAACAGGTCTGCGTGCTGGTGCTTGTGTTGCTGGAAGCCTTTGTCCACAGAGGACCCCCGACTGCACGCAGTGCCGTTTCGCTCCTTCTGGCCCCTTGCTAGCCCTTATGCATTACTTGCCTTTTTCTCAGCTCTGTCTGATTGAACTTACAAGGTCCTGGGGGCAGAATCAGCTGAGTGCCCTCTAGGCACTTAAATGTTGTTCACTTTTCACAGGGAAAGTCTTCAGATGGCAGTAGGCCCATTCCTCCACATCCTGGAGAGCAACCTGCTAAGAGCCGTGGACCCTACCACTGCGCCTGACAAGATCAGGTACCCGGCACAGCAGCTCTGCTTTGTGTGCCTGAGGGCTGTGGGGACTTCTGGCCGCAGGCAGGGAGCCCAGATCTTGGTGAGGCAAGAATCAGGTTGTCAGTGACTGAAGGGAGATGTTTAACAGGGCCCCCAGTCTCAAAGAGGTTCGCAACCTTTTGACCTTTCTTCCTGCTGTACCCCTTCTATCATGTTTTGAAAATTTTATTTTATTGAAAAGAACCTCAAATTTATTTTTGCTTTCTCTCTTCTTTGTTTTTAATTAATTGAACGTATGTCAAACAGTAGGCAATTATGATGTCACACTGATTTGATATGATAATCGTCCAAAACAAAGATAATTGCTTAATGGATTGTGTAGTTTGAACCATTTTCATTGAATGTAAAGAAGGTATGATATCCATAAGGCATTTAAAAATGTTGGAAGTGTGCTTTGGGAGGCCGAGGTGGGTTGATTACAAGGTCAGGAGTTTGGGACCATCCTGGCCAACATGGTGAAACCCTGTCTCTACTAAAATACAAAAAATTAGTTGTGCGTGGTGGTGTGCGCCTGTAGTCCCAGCTGTTTGGGAGGCTGAGGCATGGGAATTGCTTGAACCCAGGAGGCAGAGGTTGCAGTGAGCTGAGATTGCACCACTGCACTCCAGCCTGGCGACAGAGCAAGACCCTGTCTCTAATAATGATGATGATGATGATGTTGAAAGTGGCTCATGAGCCTCCATTGCCACTCTGTAGCCTTGAATCCGAGGTTGGGACTATGGCTGTGGAATATTATGTGTCCTAGGCACTTGCTAAGTGTGGTCTGCAGAAAAACAGCCTCACCATTGTCCAAGAACATGTCAGATTCTCAGGCTCCAGACTGATCTACTGAATCAGTATCTGCAATTTAACAAGATCCTCAGATGATTGATATTCAGCTGAATTTTGGAGAAACGCTGTTGTGGGATTACACATCGCTAGAAGCTCATGGTGGTGTAAGAGGCGTAGGGACAGTGAGTTGAAGCAGGAACTTCGGGCCCAGGTTTATCATAGCAGATCTTGAGAACGCTGTTTCCTGTCCTCTGCAGTACCTGCATTGACAGCACGTTCTTGCTGGCTTTTGCTGCCTTGCCACCCTCCACCTTGGATCTTTAGAATACCACAGCATCCAGTGCTAGTCTTCTAGGTTGGGGGTCCATAAATAAAATCCTTGATCTTTCCTAAGAGATGGCTACTGGTGTCAGGCAGATGTAGATTACATGGCACTCTTACTACGGATGTAAGCCATTTGGAGAATGTGTTGCGGGCCAAATGGGCTTATGAATATTATTTTGAAATAAACTTAATTCCCCAAAACTTCAGGTGTCCCCAAGAAGGAGCAGACCTTGCCCTACTAAACTCATCCATGGCTGAAAGTAGGAAGAGCACTCCTGTAGGCTGGCAGGACCCACAGAGAGGAGAGAGGTAGGGCCTAAGCCACACATGCGCAGTCTCGTCTTTGAAACTCATCAGGGAGGAGTGGGTGGGGTGCAAGGAGGAGGCCAGGAGAGTTTCTCTGGTGGGGACCCTCCTCATGAAGATACGGGGAGCGAGAACAGGGGTTCTTCCCACGATCTACTACAAAGGAGTTTGCTGAGTCAGGCTCAGCTGATTTCTAGATGTCACCTGGTTTCTGAGGCAAGCATGTCTTACTTAAAGGAGGCGGGCCGCATCCTGACCTTCAGAGACCTGAGGTAGAGAATTATGGAGAGCTGTTTCCTCTTGCAGAAAGCTGTACCTCTACGCGGCTCATGATGTGACCCTCATACCGCTCTTAGTGACCCTGGGGATTTTTGACCACAAATGGCCACCGTTTGCTGTTGACTTGACTATGGAACTGTACCAGCACCTGGAGTCTAAGGAGTGGTTTGTGCAGCTCTATTACCATGGAAAGGTAAGACCCCTGAGGCGGGATTGGGTGGGGTGAGGCCCCTCCCCCAAAACCCACCCACCTGAGTTAGCACCAGGTCTCCCTCCTCAGGCCCAGTGGAGTCTCCCTTGGCACAGTCAGCTCTCTGAATCCTATAGGGTGACCCCTGGCTGTGGCCCAGGGGTCAGGCAGAACCTGACAGGTGGTGGCAGGATGGGGCTTGGGCCTTAGCCCGGTTCTGTTACAGACTCCTTCAAGGAGAAGGGTCCCCCTCCTCTCCTCCTGAGTGTCCCTGTCAGGATGTCGCCTCCTGGCTGTGAGGCCTGTTTTGGAAATTGTTGATGGTGTCTCTGGGAGGTGATGTGTGCTGTTGGCACCTGTGGTGTTGGCTGCTTCATCAGGGCTGGTGTCCAGGGCAGAGGCCAGCACATGCCCCAGGGATGAGCCTATTGGTTCTCCCAGCTCAGGGATATAACTTGACTGTCTCTTCCCAGTCAATTCAACAAATACTTTTTGAGTGACTTTTATAAGCAGGGCATAGTGCTTTTATTCTGGAAGCTGACCAGGTAGTGGGGCCTTCCTGTCTGTATAATACGTGTGTACACGTCTACCACGTGGGTGAGAGCCTCTCAGAACTTTGGGCTCAGCTGGAAATAGGCCAGGCTCCTCAGCGGAGCTGCTGAGTCATGTCTCTTCCACAGGAGCAGGTGCCAAGAGGTTGCCCTGATGGGCTCTGCCCGCTGGACGTGTTCTTGAACGCCATGTCAGTTTATACCTTAAGCCCAGAAAAATACCACGAACTCTGCTCTCAAGCTCAGGTGATGGAAGTTGGAAATGGAGAGTAACTGATTTATACTAGCAGGATGTGCTGATTTTAAAATAAAGCGCCTTTATACAATGCCTCCTGCTTTGTGTGTTCGGGAAGAGGAGGGAGCAAGGGGTAATGCACTTTAATATAAGGTAAGTATATTTCCTTTCTGTGGGTATATATATTAAGGTTTCTTCCTGAAAGGAAAGGGGGTATAATATTGAGACCAAAAGTTATTTCTCTATTTCGTGATTTGGTTTCTAAGGTTAGAAGCCAACCTGTGTGTGGCACGGGCTGGGGACATCATGACCCTGTAGAACTGTGTTGGTTTTGGACTTTAGTTCTTTTCTCCTAAATCAGTTTCAGATGTATTGAGCTACCTAAGTCGTGGTCATCATAAAGGTGAAAACATTCTGCTCTCAAGTTGTTGCAGTCCAGTGAGAGAGGCAGCTAAATAAATCAGTGATACAGTGCAGTATGCTTGATGCTGTATTAGGTATTCGAGGGGCTCTTCGGATACAGAGAAGAAACCTCTGGCTCACAGGGCAGGGGATGTGGGGAACAGTGAAGGAAGGCGTCTGAGAAAGTCCTGCCCTGATCTGAGTAGAGGAAGGTAGGTAGGAGTTCACCAGGAAAGCAAGGAGGAAAGCGTGATGTGTGTAGGGAAAGGACAGGCTTCAAGGCCAGTGAATGTGGCTGGGTGGTGAGAGGGAACCCTGGGTGGGGAGGCCCAGCAGGGAGAAGCAGGAAGGACACTGGGCCCGGGTGGTTGTAGTTCCCATCTCAAACTAAGGGCCAGTCATAATGCCCTCAAGGTCCTATGGCACTGTGGGCCCCAGGACTCTGCAGTGGTGAGACTGGAACCACTCAACATAAGAGCTCCACCTTAGCTGTGCCCCCTGAGAGCACCTGATGATCCTCCTCTCCTTGTCAGTGTTCCCATTCTCCCCCAGAATCTATTTCAACCCTTCTCTGATTTTAAACCTCCAGTCCCTTTACCTCAGAGAAAACAGAAACCATAAAGGCCTCTACACTTCCTCCTACCTTAATATTGACAACTTCAGGAGGCAACACAACATATCTACAACCATCCGATCTTTGACAAACCTGACAAAAACAATCAATGGGGAAATAATTCCGTTTAATAAATGGTGTTGGGAAAACTGGCTAGCCATGTGCAGAAAGCAGAAACTGGACCCCTTCCTGACACCTTACGCTAAAATTAACTCCAGATGGATTAAAGACTTAAACATAAGACCTAACACCATAAAAACCCTAGAAGAAAATCTAGGCAAAACCATTCAGGACATAGGCATAGGCAAGGACTTCATGACCAAAACACCAAAAGCATTGGCAACAAATGCCAAAATAGACAAATGGGACCTAATCAAACTCCACAGCTTCTGCATGGCAAAAGAAACAGTCATTAGAGTGAATCAGCAACCAACAGAATGAGAAGAAATTTTTGCAGTTTACCCATCTGACAAAGGGCTGATATCCAGAATTTACAAAGAACTAAAACAGATTTACAAGAAAAAAACAAACAAGCCCACTCAAAAGTGGGCGAAGGATATGAACAGACTCTTTGCAAAAGAAGACATACATGAGGCCAATGAACATGAAAAAATGCTCATCATCACTGGTCAGTAGAGAAATGCAAATCAAAACTACATTGAGATACCATCTCACGCCAGTTGGAATGGCGATCATTAAAAAATCTAGAGACAACAGATGCTGGAGAGGATGTGGAGAAATAGGAACACTTTTACACTGTTGGTGAGAGTGTAAATTAGTTCAACCATTGTGGAAGACAGGGTGACGATTCCTCAAGGACCTAGAAATAGAAATTCCATTTGACCCAGCAATCCCATTACTGGGTATATATCCAAAGGATTATAAATCGTTCTACTATAAGGACACATGCACACGAATGTTCATTGCAGCACTGTTTACAATAGCAAAGACCTGGAACCAACCCAAATGCCCATTGATGATAGACTAGATGGGAAATGTGGCACATATACACCATGGAATATTATGCAGCCATCAAAAACAATGAGTTCGTGTCCTTTGTAGGGACATGGATGAACCTGGAAACCATCATTCTCAGCAAACTGACATAAGAGCAGAAGATCAAACACCGCATGTTCTCACTCATAGGCGGATGTTGAACAATGAGAACACATGGACACAGGGATGGGAACACTACGCACTGGGGTCTGTTGGGGGGAAATAGGGGAGGGAAAGTGGGGGGTGGGGAGTTGGGGAGAGATAGCATGGGGAGAAATGCCAGATACAGGTGATGGGGAGGAAGGCAGCAAATCACACTGCCACATGTGTACCTATGCAACAATCTTGCGTGTTCTTCATATGTACCCCAAAACCTAAAATACAATAGATAAATAAATAAAAATATTGACAACTTCGGATCAGGGAGCTGAGATATCTCAAGCTCAGTTTCTCTTCTGAGCTTCAGACACTTTTATCCACTTGGATTTCACTGGTACAAGACGTTCCATGTCAGAATCAAACCCCTTTCCTCCTGGACCTGCTTTTCCCACACACTCCACTATCCACTCAGTTGCCACATGAGGAATCTCTTTGTTTTCTTTGTCTTACATTTTCCTATGTCTAATCAGTTAAGTTTTATCAATACTACCTGTTTATTTCTTCAATCTGTCCACATATCTTTATCCTCAATCTTCAGTATCCCTTCCCATCCTCAGTCTGCTGGTTGCTGTATTTCTTATTTTACTAAGAAACTAAAAGATCAGAAGAAAACTTCCATATCTTCCCCCAACCCCAACCACTAAATCTGCTAGCTCAGTTGCATTGGTACTTTTATGGGACTTCCTTCCTTCCTCTTACTAAGAATGAACCAACACTACGCCATCCAAGCCCAACCCCTGGCTTTGCATGGACTCCTACTGTTATCTTTTTTCTGGATTGTCGATTTTTTTCTCTTGACCAGTTACTCCATTAGCATGCAAATATGCTGTAGAGTCTCCTGTCTTCAATTTTTTTTCTCTGCACCTTTGAACTGCTGTGCTCTTTTCCTTCTCTTTATAGCAGAACTCCTCAAAAGAGTTGCCACCTCTGATTCTTCCCTTCAAGTTCTCTCATGAACCAACTGCAATTAGGTATTCACCCCCACCACTCCATGGAAACGGCTCTTGTCAAAATCATCAATGGCCTCTGTGTGGTAAATCCAATAGCCAGTTTTTATTCTTCTTACTAAGCGTCTCATCAGTATTCCTGGACTATTTCCTTCATTTGGCTTCTAGGACAAATATTCTCTTGGTTTTCCTCCAGTTTCTCAACTTCGTTTCTGTTGAATCTACTTTTTTCTAATCTGTAAGTGTTGGAGTGTCCCAGGGCTTACTCCTTGGACCTTTTTTCCACCTTTCCCCCTACACTCACCCACTAGGCGATCTCAAGAATTTCCAATTTTAGGCCAGGCGCGGTGGCTCACGCCTGTAATCCCAACACTTTGGGAGGCTGAGGCAGGCAGATCACCTGAGGCCAGGAGTTCGAGACCAGCCTGGCCAACATGGCAAAATCCTGTCTCTACTAAAAATACAAAAACTAGCTGAGCATGTTGGCAGGCCCTGCAATCCCAGCTACTTGGGAGGCTGAGGCAGGAGAATTGCTTGAACTTGGGAGGCAGAGGTTGCAATCATGCCATTGCACTTGAGCAATGGCGTGCAATTTCTGTGCCTGTTCAAACCTCCTCCTTCCACTGGCTTTCCCATCGAGGTAAATGGCACCACCGTTCACCCTGTCGCTTTGCCCTAGACTCCTTTCTTTTTCTCATATTCTACCTCTATACATGAGTAACTCCTGCTGTAGCTCTTTTCAGACTATATCCAAAATTGACCACATCCCAAGAGTTCCATTGCTACTGTCTTCTTTCACCTGGATTATTGTGAAGGCCTTGTAGCTAGTCTTCCTGTTTCTGCCCTTCCCGTCTCTGCCCCTCTATTCTCAACATAGTGTTGCTTTTAGAACAAAGTCAGATCATGGCACTCTTCCACTCAAAATTCCCCATTGGTTTCCCATCTCAAACTAGAGGTCAGTCATAATGTCCTTAAGGTCCTGTGACATCTCACCGCATCCCAGCCATACTAGCCAGCTTACATTCTTCCTCTTTGCTTGTAATAGAAACTTTTTATTTTCTTTGTAGTTGACAGGTAATAGTTGTATATATTTATGGAATACAGTGTTGATGTTTTAATATATGTATGCGTGAAAGAATGATCAAATCAAGCTAATTCAAATAGCTATCACTTCATCTACCTATCACTTTCTTGTGGTGAGAATGTGATTACTCTTTAGTAGTTTTCAGGTATACAGCCACTGTAGTTTGAACGCATCTGTCTTCTCCAAATTTTATGTTGACACTTAGTGTCTTGTACAGTGTTACTGGGAGGTGGAGCCTAATGGAGATATTTAACGGATTAATGCCATTATAAAAAGGGCTTGCAGGAATGGGTTCCTTCTCTTTTGCTTTTCTGCCATATGATGACAAAGTATTTCTCCTCTCTGGAGGATGCAGCAATAGGCACCATCTTGGAAGCAGAGAGACCAGGCCCTAACCTGCTGGTGCTTTGATCTTGGGCTTCTCAGTCCAGAACTGTGAGAGAAGGAATTCTGTTCGTTATAAATTACCCCATCTGTGGTATTCTGTTATCGCAACACAAAATGGACTAAGACAACAGTATACTGTTATGAACTGTGGTCACCGTGCTGTGCACTAGATCACAGAAGCTTGCTTCTCCTGTCTAACTGAAACTGTGTACCTTTTGACGAACATCTCCCTTTTTCCCATCATCCCCTCCCCTCCTTACTATCCGTGAAGATGGAGTATGCCAAGTAGCCCTGAGCCACGTCCGCACCTCACGGTGAGCGCAGTTGCTCTGCCTGGAATGCTCTCCCGGGCACTTGCGTGGCTAGCTCCCGCCCTTCATCCAGATCTCAGCTCATCGTCACCTTAGAGACGCCCTCCTTTCACCTCCTGCCTTAGGCACACTCTGTCACCTTCTCTTAGGGGCTGAATTGTGTCCCCACAACATTCGTCCTAACCCCTAGTACAGTAAGCCCTCACTCAGCGCTGTCAGTAGGCTCTTGGAAACGTCAACGTTCAGTGGAAGGACAGATCCAGGTCTTTTAATAACACTGTGTTTTGTTCAACGTTGTTGCCCTGTAACACTGTTGAGAAAAAAATTGGTTTTCTAATATGTTGTTTTACTTAAAGTTACAGTTTCCAGGAACCTACCAATGATGTTAAGGACTGAATGCACCTCAGATGTGACTGTATTTGGAGATAGGGCCTTTTAAGAGGTAGTGAAGGTCAAGAGGTAAGGTGATATGGGTGGTCCCTAATCCAATATGACTGGAATCCTTATAAGAAGAGGAAATGAGGACACAGACACAAGAGGGAAGATGACCGTCTACATGCCAAGGAGACAGGCCTCAGCAGAAACCCGCCCTGCTGACACGTGACCTGGGACTTGCAGCCTGTAGCACTGTGAGGAAATACATTTCCATTGTTGAAGCCACGAGTCTGTGATACTTTGTTACAGCAGGCCCGAGCGAATGAATACACTCGTTCTGTTTTTTTCCAACCCCCACCCCTGCGATATTTATCAGTGCTGGATATTACATATTTGTATATCTACATGCTTATTTCCGTGACTAAAATGGAAGCTCCATGAAGGCAGGTTTCTTCTTGTTCACTGATGTGTCCTCAGCACCAGGAAGAGTGCCTAGTGCATGCTAGCGCTCAGGCATTTGGACATGTGAATGACACATCCCCTCTGTCACTTCTCTCCGGGGCCCATGGCCACCCTCCTAGGTACCACGGTGGCTTCCTAAGGGGCCACATTCGCACGTGCTTTCCATCACCCCCTGAGACCTGGCCCCTGCCTACCTCTCCAGCTTCACCCTTCACATGCCTCCCTCGCCAGACCCATAGTATGTTTTTTAAAAAGTCCCACTTCTCTGCCCTCTTTACCTTGGCGCACATTTTCCCATCGCCTGACCCTGACACACATTCCCTTTTCCCGTTTAATCCCTGATTATCTCTAGGCCTTCCGTGTGTCTGTTTGTCCTTTTTGTCCTTCAGTAGAAGGTTGTTTGTCTTGTCTTTTACTGTATTTCTAGAACCAAGTATAGAGACTACCAAGTGAACCTCAGCAAAGATTTACTGAATGAATAAATGAGTTCAAAACTGTAAGACTGAACTTTTCTGTCGGCACCCTGCGGGCTTCTGTGCACTTTCCCTCCACTCACCACTAGGGGGAAGCATGGAGTAAAAGGAAAACTAAGGCTTTCACTGGGTTCAAATTTTGACAGCGTTTTTTATTTCTTTGCAACCCTTGGACAGGTGTTTCTGAGCCTGTTTTTCCTCTTATGTAAAAATGGGCATAATGGTACGTACTAATTAGGGTTGTGAGAATTAATTGAGGAAACGTGTAAGTGCCTTCAAATGTTCTTTTCCCTTTTCTCTTGCATCGCACTTCCCACGAGATTCTTGACTGCAGCAGGTTTCCCAGGAGGAAGGGAGCCTTTGGGGATGCCCCCCTGCAGGCAGCGTCCCCTCTCCCCTGGCCCTTCCCGGGGCACTGTTCCTGTGTGTGCAGATTTGTACGGAAAGAACCCTGGCTCCTGCGCTCACCAGTTGTGTGACTGTGGGCCTGCCACTTAATTTCTCTTAGATTTTTCCAACTGTAAAGCAGGGAAGTTAATGTTTATCTACCTGATGACTTGTCCTGAGGATAGAAAGTACGGTGTGAAAAGCTCTTCCCAAACTCCCACCCTCTCCCTGCCTTAACTCCAACGGCCTTAGGGTGCCGTTGAGGTTAAACAATTCCCACAGGAGGCTCTCACCCGTGTATGGCAAAGTAAAAGCCTTCCCCGGACGCAGGAGAGTGGTCACTCCCCTTCACCCACATAGCCGGGCTTGCCAGGGAAGGCTGACTTCATCTGCGGCTCCCTGACAGCTCTTCCCGAGGGTCTCGTGGCTCATCTTACAGAGCTTCTGGCTCTGGCAGGCCCTGGGATGAAGGACTGTCACTCGACAAGACCCTTCATTGCCACGTGCCGATTCCCCTGTAACAGTTTCACGTGGATCGTTAAAAACAATAGCAAGGGGACAGAAATCCTGAAGGGCCCAACTAAAGAGGGAGGAGGAGAGAGTTCCCGTCCTACCCTCCCCTAGTTTTCGGCAGCAGGACCTGGCGTGCCAACCTGTTTATTTTCATTGTAGGAAACTCAGGTCTTTGTCGGTGGCACCTGGCACCCCTTTTCCTCAGCTGGAATCCTCTAGGGCACTGCCATTTACCTGCAGAGGAGGCTGGGCAGGCTGCGGTCGGCAGTGGCAGGATCTCGGCTCACTGTAACCTCCTCCTCCCGGGTTCAAGCAATTCACTTGCCGCAGCCTCCCAGGTAGCTGAAACTACAGGCACGCACCCAGCTAATTTTTGTATTAGGGATGGGGTTTCACCGTGTTGGCCAGGATGGTCTCGATCTCCTGACCTCGTGATCTACCCACCTCAGCCTCCCAACGTGCTGGGATTACGGGCATGAGCCACTGTGTCTAGCGGGGATCATTCTTCAGTTTGGGAGCTAGAGCATGCACCCTGGGGCTGTTAGGCAGCAAGGAGTCCCTTCGGCTGGGTGGGGAATCCCCCGAGGAGATGACTGTGCCCTTTTCAGACCCTGCCCTCTCGTGGCCAAGAGGACCTTGCAGTCCAGTTCCTCCCAGTCCACCCTGCCAGCCTCTGGAAACCTGGCCCCTGTCTAAGGCTGGCTGGAGAGAACTGAAAAACACTTTCCCCAGTAGGAATCTGGTCTTCCCAGGATTCCGCTCTCCATGTGGCCTTTAAATCAAATGTACCTTTTCCTGAGGAAACTAGGAGGGGTCACCATGTCTGAGAACTCAAGAGACCACTGACCTTGGAGTCATGTGCTTTGAGTTCAAGTCCTGTGCTGTAGCTACTACCTGTGTGACTCTGGGCAAGTCCATTAACTTCTGTTGATGAACTGTGTATCTTCATTTGTGCAATGGGACTCTAATATAGCATCTCCCTCACGGATTTATCCTCGGACTCACATAGATTAGGTATGGGAAGCACTTCCTAATATGAAAAGTGTTATGCACATATAAGGCATTGCTCTTGCTATGCCAGAAAAGCCTCTTTGTGGCGTCTCTGGAACGTTCCTCAGGGCTGTGGGCAGTGGATGCCTGGACCTCGATGTCTTGCCCCTGGGAGATAAGATCTTGGTGGCCGAAGACCAGGCTGTTTGCAGGGTGCTTAAGTCACGTGAAGGATAGTAAAAGAAGCACCTACCTTGGAGTTAAGAGCCAGGGATTTGGATTCCAGATTTAGCACTTTCCTGGGCCCTGTGATCTTGGGCAGCTCCTTTAGCATTGCAGAGTTTCTGTTTATCCACGTGCGAGGATGGCGATACTCTCTGTGGCGTGTGGTGGAGGGGATGTAAGCAAAATAACCATAGGAAAGGTTGTGAAAGGTGCTAGGGTCTCAAATACAAATTTTGAACATGCATCTTCTTGTATTTGGGCTTAAGGAAACTAGAGTCCAGCAGCCTACTGTGTGCCGAGAAGTTTGAGTCATTCTGTGTCATACAGAGATTTTTAGAGAAGGCCAGTATATGCTTTGAAATCAAAGGTACAGCTAGGTAAACTAGCGAAGGGGGTGTGCTGGGAGGCTGGGGCCAGTGGTGATAGAGCTGTTTATATTGGTGGGAAAGCAGGGTATTTTTCTCTGAGGCAAGCCTTTCACAAAGGAAAATCTGCATTTGAGAGAGATTAGAAGTCTCACAGGTAAGGGAAAGATGTAAGGAAATGGTCTGCGCTGAATCACTGTGAGGGACAGTATTCATCAGAGAATTAATTTGGAAAGAAATAGAGTGTGAAATAGCGGTAAGGCTTTCAACTCTGGGCACCGTGGCCTTAAAAACCCAAGCAGTGCTTCAGAGGCTTGCCAAGACCCAGTCTGGGAGCTACCTCCGGAAAAGCAGCTGGGGGATGCCCAGAGACCACAAATTGCTGAGCTTGGGAGGAGCTGATTGAGTGTGTAATTAAGGGGAGGGTTGTATAACACTTGGGTAAGTAGAACTTGATGGGGTCAAACCAGCAGGGCTTCTGGGAGATGAGAGAGCAGTCCCTGGAGCTGTTAGTAACTGAAGCCAGCTGCATAGAGGTAGGCACAGCTTACCTGAGCCTTGCAGAGAGAAGGATGGAAGAGATCAGGAAGGGGAAAGGTTGAAGGAATGGTTGTTCTCTAGGTCAAATGTTCCAAAATGCTGAATACCTCAGGGGTTCAGTTCTAGGAATAAGATACCATTATGGAGCAATGGGGAAAAATCCCTGGAAACTGAAGATCAGAGAGGCTGTGGCACCACGGAGATTTAATGGATTCTGAACTGCAATTGTGCATCTGGATTGCATCTTGGCCAGGTGGCTAACACCTGTAATCCTAGCACTCTGAGAGGCTGAGGTCAGAGGATCACTTGAGCCCAGGAGTTTGAGACTAGCCTGAGCAACATGGCAAAACCGCATCTCTCAATACATTTAAAATTTAGCTTGACGGGGTGGCAAGTGCCTGTAGTCTCAGCTACTCACGAGGCTGAGGTGGGAGGACCACTTGGGCCGGGAAGTCAAGGCTGTGGTCACCTGTGTTTGCGATACTGCACTCTAGCCTAGGTGACAGAGCAAGACTCTGTGTCAAAAAAACTAAAAGAGGCCCGGCACGGTGGCTCACGCCTGTAATCCCAGCACTTTGGGAGGCCGAGGCGGGCAGATCACGAGGTCAAGAGATCGAGACCATCCTGGCCAACATGGTGAATCCCTGTCTCTACTAAAACTGTAAAAAAATTAGCTGGGTGTGGTGGCACACGCCTGTAGTCCCAGCTATGCGGGAGGCTGAGGCAGGAGAATTGCTTGAACCCGGGAGGCGGAGGTTGCAGTGAGCCGAGGTCGCACCACTGCACTCCAGCCTGGTGCCTGGTGATGGAGTGAGACTCTGTCTCAAAAAAAAAAAAAAAAAAAAAGCAAAAACAAAACTATTTTTATGTGCCACACTGATTTTGAAGACAGGAAGGGAACGGTTTGGAGTACAAAGGGGGTGTCCTTTGATCATGTATGGGGATCAGGAAGGGAAATCATTTGTAGTATATCTGTGACAGGATGGGTGTGTATGGGTAGGATACTGAAGCAACTAGGCACGCTCACCATTAGTTAAATTAGCCCCAATCCCTGGTGTATGGAGCAGGCCCCTGCCCACCTCGCTAGCCTCGTCCTCTACCACGCTCCCTTTTGCTTTCCCCCCAGATCTTGAGGAGTCGGTGTCCTCTTGATATTAAGATCTCAGCTTAAATATCACCCTCTCTCACATGGGAACGTTTGCTTGTATGTATATGTGTGTATTTAATTGAATGTGTGTTTCTACAGAGACACAGTAGAGCCCAGTGGTGAAACATACAGGCTCTGCAGACAGACTGCCCAGGTCGAGGCTCCGTCCTTTAGGGTCCGTATGACCTGGAGCAAGTGACAACTTCTCTGCCTTTTAATCTGTGAAACAGGAACAAGAAGAGTTCTGACCTCATAAGGCTTTGTGAGGAGCAAACACATAAAGCATTCGGAACAATGGCTGGCACATAGGCAAGCTAAAACATACTGGCAGTTATCTGTTTGTAAGTGTTGATTGTCCTCTGTGCCCTCCTCTGCAGAAAGCAGGAAGCCTGTCTGGTTGGCTCTCTGCTGTGTGCGGTGAACATGCTGTTTGCTATCTGTAGACCATGACCTGGCCTGGAGTAGGGGCTCAATTTGGACTAATGGCATTAATTTGCCGAATTCATAGAGAAACTAATTCGGTGGTCAGTTGTTCTTCAGGGAGGTGTTCCATGTTAGGCCTTTGCCCTGTTGGACTTGTTTTTTTTAAAGAATTTGCATAAAATACAACTGAGTAAACATACAGTGTAGAGACTGGTCACGTTTACTGAAGACATAAAACTGGAGAAAATCACTTCCTGGATGACTGAATGAAGGAATAAATGATAGATGTCTTAGACATGTTTGTGCTGATACCACTTTTGGATCCTAGGCCAAATATTTTAAGATTCAACTTAAAGGAGACAAATGCAAAAGGCTGATCTTGGGTCATCGAATTCAATTGCCCACAGCCGGAGAGGGGTTTTAGTGAGGGATTTGTC